GGTGCGGCTTGCAGCAGGGTGACAGACCCCGCCAGGCCCCGCCGTCCAGCACAGAGCCGGGCTTTTCTCCTCAGTCGACCCCAGCGCCGCGGTATCTCGGCGCAGCTTCTGCTTTTCTGAAATAAGGAAATAACTTTGCCCTCCCTTTAGCCCCCGTGGAACTGAAGCACAGGAAGGCGAGCGGCTTGCCCAAGGCTGTGAGTGAGCAGGGCAGGAACATGGCAGGAGTCTGGCAAATTGTTCTCTCCTGGCCTGGACCGCAGGCTGTCGTGGTGTGAGCTGTGGTTGACAGAAAGTGTTTGTCCCCGCTTGCTGGTGTGTGGGGATGTGGTGGTGTTGCCAGGTACCCTGTATCTGCGCTCCGAGTCACTCAGGAGCCGGTTGTTCGCTCGGTGTGTTAGCACTGGGACCTGCTTTGCCCACCCTTCAGGAAAGGTGTTCCTATTTCTCTGGAAGATCATTTATCTGTGGTTTATATAAATGCATTGTGTGCACTTGGATTTGTGAATCACTGTTATGGCACGAGTGTTATGACTCACATCTTTTGGCTTGCATGGTTTAAAAAAATAACAAGACCTTAGCAATACCATGTTCTCCGTAGCTAGGTGCTAGGCTTTATACCCTCTGTACACCTCTCTGGCTGTCCTAGGAGTCCATTGATTTCTCAACGTGATGACAATGCGGCTCTGTTCTTTGTGGGATGTTGAATGTGAGACAACTTGGATGTGGAAAGAAAACTGTGTGTTTTGGCTGCTTTGGATCATGCAACAATTTGTTCGCTTTTGCAGTAGCAATAAAGATGAAATTACAAAGTAGGTGAGACCTTTGCCTAGAGATAGGGTTTGAAATTATGTTTTCTGGTATGGAAACCAGTATTTCTTCCTCACCTGCTCTCACTTCTCTTTCAGTCCAAAGGCAAGAGAGGTTTTATTGACATTCACTAAATTAGTGTTGTCTGCTATGTTAGTTTGGAGTCACTGCTGTACAGGTTAGAGCACGAAAATGTGCTTCTTATGGGAGTAACCCTTAGCTGCATACTGAGGGTGGTAACTGCTTGCCATGTTTTCATGAGTGTGGGTTCAAAAGTCAGTTTTGGTATAGGTATGTGACACTGTGCAGAAGGATTTGTGATGAAAATGGACACAACATGGACTCAGTTCTCCCTCGTGTAACTCAGGGCGTAATTTAACAAAGATGAATTCTAAACTGGTTTTTAATGTGTCTAGGTCCAGTTTAGTTTCATTTATACAGACCGGATCAAACCGGGTTATCATCCGCTTCAGGCATATCTTGTATTAAATCAGTAATATTGGCTGAATGGATAGGATCACGTTAATTCATCTAGAGCTAGGGGGAAGTTCAAAGCTGTGAAGAAATTGACCGTTGGAGCTCATCTGATAACAGGCAAAGGACTTGCAAGTGACATTTGTCATAGCTGATTTTCAGCAGTTTCTGCAGAACTGGGTGGGAGACTTAAAACAGGAATTATGCTGTCGGATAGGTAACCCTATTATCAGGATAGCATTAAAAAGAGCAAATGTATATGGAAGATACAATATACAAATGAAACTAAAAAGTTTTGGATTTACAGTGGAACCTGTGAAATCATGTCTTAAAATGACACTATTGAACTTCATTTATTCTTTGTACATCAAATATATTATTTTTAGCACACCCTTTGTAAAAATTTTGAAGAAAAAGCTCATTTTCTTTCTCTGTTGGTCAGTCTTCTGCACATAATAATATCCCCTATGGTTACTATTGCTTAAGTAATACAGAGAAGGGTTTATATGATAAAACACTGAAGGACAAGTCTCCTACATAAGTATTCTTGAAAAACAGATATTTTCCAGGTTATGACCCTTTAAAATGTTACTACACCTGCATATAGCAGTGATTCTGCCATCATTTAGGTCTAGATAAACTAATTAACACTCTTTGCTCATGTGTCAAATTGTTAAGACGAGATGCAGGTTTATAATTTTTGCAGAGTTGCAGATGCTGCAGGAGGAGAGAGGCAGACGGTGTGATCACTGTGGCAGAGGGGACACGTGTGAGTGCCCACGCTGTGGGAAGGGCAGCAGAGGGGACTGGGCTGCGGCTGGGCTGGTTTGGCCTCGTGGTTGGTTGGGTGGCCCTGATTTTGGGGTCAACCAGAGCATTTGTTGCCATGTGCCCAGCTTGTTTTTGGGATGGAGGGCAGGGAGCTGCAGGTACTCTGTGTACACATGCACTCAAGGGAGCTTTAGGGGAGTATAGAGGCATAACGGATAGAGCAAGATTGGCATTGTAGGTTTTTTTTTTTTTTGTTTAGGGTCTAGGGCATGTTTATCAGGTTGTCTTAGGGG